AAAAAAAAAAAAAAAAAACCAAAGCAGCCCTCAAAACAAAAACAAGCCAAAAAAACCCAACAATTATTAGTTATTATTTACAGATATTAAAATAAGGTTTAATAAATTGTGATGCTATTTTTTCTTAGCTTAAGAAAAAGATCTGTAAGCCACAATTTATAAAGCCAAACAAATTGGTGTGTATACGTCTATTTGTATTTTTGAATTATTTTTACTTATTTTTAAAATGCTGTACTGAGTATAGCACACACACACAGAGTAAATAGATGTATAAATTTTAGAAATAAACTATTATATTAAGTATACAATTCAATATATATAATATATATATTATATATATATAATTTTTTTTCTCCCCGACACAGGGCTTCTTTGTATAGCCCTGGCTGTCCTGGAACTCACTCTACAGACCAGGCTGGCCTCAAACCCACAGAGATCTACCTGCTCGTGCCTCCCAGTGCTGGGATCAAAGGTGTGCGCCACCACCACCTGGCTGTATTGACTATATTTATATTGTTGTGACATGTACTTTTCGCCTTGAAAACTAAAATAAAAATATGATTGCTTCACAACTCTGCATGTCCTTTGCACAGGGGCCATTGCTAATCTCCATATTGTCCCAGTGTTAGGATGTCCTGTCAAAGCAAGCCTAAAGTATCTTCATGGTTTCCCTTATCTCTGAGTATTTTTATCTCCATATTTTCCCAGTGGCTATGAAACTATGATTCTCCTGTTTGACTTTTTGACAGTTGATGGATATGACAGTATTTTCTAAGTCTTTGGGGCTTTTAAAACTCTGTTCTTGTTGGGCATGTTGGCACGCACCTGAAACCTCAGCACTTGAAGCAGGAGGATCACTAGTTTAAAGCCAGCCTGGGCTACATAGCAAGACTCTGCCTCACAAATCCAAAATAAGAAAAAAAAAGGCAAAAAGAATCTAGAGGAGAGATATTTGATATAAACTGTGTTTATAAATAGCCTCACAACTTTGTATAACAACCTGATGTGTCCGTTCCCCTGTCCCCCCCCAACCTATACCCCACCCCACCCCCACCCCCCGGCCCCCAGACAGGTTTTCTCTGTGTAGCCCTGGCTATCCTGGAACTCATTCTGTAGATCAGGCTGGTCTGGAGCTCAAAGACCTGCCTGGCTCTGCCTCCCCAGCCTGGCTAAAAAGCTGGTGTCTTATTGCCTGTCTTACTCACATTTTTCAATCTCTCCGGAAGGATGAAGACTTACAAGAGATGGAGGATTTAGCTCAAAAAATGGAGAGTCAGTTTGGCCAGTTTTTTGATCACGTGATTGTGAATGACAACTTGCAGGATGCATGTGCCCAGCTGCTGTCTGCCATACAGAAGGCTCAGGGGGAACCGCAGTGGGTACCAGAAGCGTGGATTTCTCCTGGCACTGAGTCTTAATCAAGTCTCCTGTTTAAAACTGGAGGCTTGGAGTTGGGGATTTAGCTCAGTGGTAGAGCGCTTGCCCAGCAAGGCCCTAAGTTCGGTCCTCAGCTCTGAAAATAAATAAACTGGAGGCTTAATATTGTGTCCTAAGGATCCAGCGTAACAGCTGCGCTAGAAAACAGCAGCATTGACCCATTAGACCTTCAACTGTGACGTGCTGCAGCTTATTGTGTGGCTCTAACTAGCACTTTGTAATGACAGGGAACTACTTACCCGGCTCGGTCGGGTTTTTCCGTCCTCTCCCCATAGGAACTAATGGTAGGCATGTGAATAATGCTAAGTCTCTAAAGGTGACAATATTCATGTGAGAATTACCGATTTCATATGGTGTTTGTAAGATTTAGTTTTTTTAAGTCTCTTTTGAATAAATCGGACAATAAATAGTTAATGGCTGAAACTATTTTACTTTGTAAAATATTTTGTCTTTTGTTTTATTTTTACAAAAGTGCCTCGTTGACCAATTCAGCAAGAATGGTTCACACACATATCTAGCAAGGAAACCTATGGCACTGTCAATCCCAAATCAGTGTCCAAATTAGTATAGGGCATAATGGACCTGTCCTGGAGGCCTCTATATGAGCAAACTCCAAGATGAGGAATCTTGGTCTCCCTAGATCCGTCAATTCCAGCTCCCTGCACCCATGGCTGCTTATCTTCATATCCACACTTCCCTCCATTCCCATCCAACACTTTTTTAAATAATAAAAGGATTTTAAAAAAAGCTTGTTCTTTCTTAAAGTGAACATACTATCTAAAACAAACTCGGGGAAAATTAAGTAGCTTTACATGATGCAAAGGTGAGATGGCCTTTGGCCACAGGTTGTGGTTGTGAACATCTGAGAACCTGATTTTACAGCGGTCCCCATGGAGAAAACAATTAGAACTGCGTATGTAAATGACACTCTAGGCCGGCCGGGGATCTGGAAATCTGGGCCTGGATTTCCAGTGAAAGATTCCCCCGTACCCTGCCAGCTCCAGGGATCTCCCCTCTAGCGGGGCCCCGGCAAGGCTGGAACCAGGCCTGGGGGCGGCTGCCTCGCCAGGCTCCGCTAAGCCGCCGCCTCCCGCAGGTCCCGGGAGGGAGGGAGGCCCGGGGGACGGGCGTCGCGGGGAGCTGGCCTCGGGCGCGGGCGGTTGCCCCCAGGGAGCCCCGCGGGAGAGCATCATGAAGGCCGAGTCGGAGCCTCCGCTGGAGGAGGGCCATGCGGTGAGAGACGAGGGGCGCAGGACCCGGAGCGTGGCGATCTGGGGGTGCCCTAGCCAGCAGTGACCCCGGCCGAGCCGGGAACGGAGGAGCACAGCCCCGGTAACCGGGCCAGATCCGGGCGGTACTGCTGGGCGGGGCCCCTCACCGGAGAGGAGTCCGACGGAACTTCTCCACGCTGCAGTCCGCGTTGCCATGACGACGCCTTCCCCGCGGCTTCCGGTGGGGAGTTTGGATCCGGGTCTGGTCGCGCCGTGCCCGTTCCCGCGCAAACCAGGACGACCTCCCGGGGAACCGTGCGTGAACCCGCTCCGCTCCTGGGAACGTCGGCCGGTGCCCAGGCTCCCCCTTCAAGCTTAGTCTGAAGGGGGCAGAGCGGGTTCGGACCCGGGAACCCCAAAAACCTCCCGCGGGGACGGTGGGGATGCTTCGGCCCGGCAGCCTGAGGGGCGCAGCCCGATGACGCTCTGCGCCTGCGCCTGGGTGGGCGGGGCGAGCGGGGCGGGGCGGGGCGGACGGGCGGGTGCTGGGACCCGGGGCTCCGCCGCCGCCCCTGGAGACGCGATGGGGAGGAAGCAGGTGGTTAGCGAGCCTCAGGTACTGTCGGGCTGCTGGACTTCATTTAGTCTTCCCTTGAGCCGTCCTGGTTTTGAGGGGCGTAGGGCTGCGGTTTCTAGATGGGCGAGATGGGTCCTTTTTGCGGGACTTTTGAAATGTGGACCGGGTCCCACTTCATAGCGTCTGGAGAAGAGTAGCGCTTTCGTGGGACCATCATTCCTTCCCAGTTGTCATTTTGACTGCTGTGTAGCATTAGGGCATCCTGCAGTGTCCTAATCTTGTAGCATCTTCATGAATCTGTTTGGATGCATACAACAGTGGATTGCTAAAATGTATGCAAGCCTGTGGAATCAGTGCCCTCTCTGTAAGCAGCATGAGATGCTTGAGATATTCATTTGACTTCTAGACACTTCCGTTAGTATTCAGTTCCTTTAAAGATTTATTTGCTTTCTGAATATTTTGCCCGCGCCTGTCTATGTGCACCACTTGTGTGCCTGGTGCTCAAAGAAGCCAGGAGAGGCTGTTCATTTTCCTGGAACTGGAATTATTGGTGTCCGCGAGCTGCTTTGTGTGTGCTGGAAACAGAACTGAACCTCTGCAAGAGCAGCCGTGCTCTGAACGGCCGAGGCATCTCTCCGGTGCTTGGTAGTCTATCATGAAAAGTTTCAGAATGCTCTCAACTAATGCTCCCTGAATTCGCAAAGGTGATTTTTCTTACACAGGTAGAGCAGTGTAAATTGTATTCCACCACCAATACTTTCTGTTCTAGAATATGTTTTCTATTTCTGTTTAAGATATCTTTTTAAAAAGCGTGTTACTTTGTGGCATAAAACCTCAGTTGGCTTCCTGCTTAATAAAACAAAATCCATATTCCTTTCCTTGGTCTGCAAGGCCCTACTTAACCCAGCTTCTACGCGGCTGTCCTTGGTAACTGCTCCAGCCTTGGTGCTTTTTTTACCTAGAGCACTCGGAGTCCAGGCTTTCATGAGAGCCTTACCATTTACTCCCCATTGCCTGCAATGTTGGCTCCTTTATCATGCAGGTCCCAGCTCAAATAACCTCAGAGAGGCTTTCCCTAAGTAAAGTAGCACTTCATTCCTTCTATATAGTTATCTATCATATCTACACACACACACACACACACACACACACACACACACACACACACACAGTGTTCTAGGTTTATATGTAACATTATCTTCCAATACTTAGCCACCAATGGAAGTCCTGTAAAGGGTGGTGAGCTCCATTTTGATCCTGTTCTGAATGCTCACAATAGGCCAGACTGGTTGGTGGAAACGTAAGACGAGAAGAATTTTACATGGGATGTAGAAATAGCATATCTAAACTCAGCAGTCTGGTTTACGTTATCACCTGCCAAGTTTCACTGATAAATAGCTTCCAAAAGATTTGAAGAGAATTTCTGATCCCTTTTATTTGCCTTACATCTGAACATCGGGTTTTTGGATGTGTAGCTTTGTGGTACTTGAGATGCATGAAGGTACGATGCACTGGCTTTTGTTTATGAGGTTTTCTGTTTGTTTTTGCTTCTGTCTTTCCTTTACTCCTGCAGCATCCTCCACGGGCTCTTCCACCTGTGCCAAGGTAAAAATAATGTACAGTCATTTCATGATTGAACTTGAAAAATGGAAAAATAGGTGGCTGGGTGGTGGTGGCACACGCCTTTAATCCCAGCACTCGGGAGGCAGAGCCAGGTGGATCTCTGTGAGTTCGAGGCCAGCCTGGGCTACCAAGTGAGTTCCAGGAAAGGCGCAGAGCTACACAGAGAAACCCTGTCTCGAAAACAAAAACAAAAACAAAAAACAAAAAACAAACAAAAAAAAAGTAAAAATAGGCAGAAAAAAAGGAATAGTGTGGTTGAAAGCTACAATGCTTCAGGAAAACAACAACAAAAAACCTTCCTTGAAGACTTTCCCTGAAAATTTAGAGGCAAAAATTAAATTTGAGTCATGAGAGTAATTGCTGTAAGTAATAGAAAAGTCTTAATCCAGCCCAGTAGAATAATGGTCTGTTCTGAATGTTCTGGTGTCCTGTTTACCAGAATTCTCCTGATGCCCTCATCTTTTCGGGAATAATTCCGTCAGAGCCTAAGCTGATTATAATCAACAAAGGAGAGTTCTTAATCCGATTAGTTCCTTTAATTAATAGATAGTAGGGAATATGTATTTGTGTTTTCAAAGTGTTTTTAACAGTGCTGTTAAAACAGTATACTACTCACAGATAATAAGCTAGTTTATAAACTAGCTGACTGTGTGAAAACTTGTTGTATTTTTAAGGTTGTAATGATGTAAGTCAGTTTTCAGTCAGATAATAATTAAGTTTGTTTGTTTGTTTCTATTTTTTTTTTTTGTCCTGCCTATCACATTTGGTTGGGGTCATGAAGTGCTATTCAAGGTGAGTTGGTTTACTATTAGTGTGAAAAGTCCTCCTGCAGTGTTTGGTGTTCTGAGATAGGCATGGTGATGAGCAGAGAGACACATACCGTTACTCCTAGTTCTGGGAAGGCCAAGGCAGGGAGGCTGTGAGTTTGAGGCCTGCATGGACTACATAGTGAGGTCCTGTCTCTAGGGGATTCAAAAGTGGAATCTGGGGACAGTGGCTTACATCTATAGTGCCAGCCACTTAGTGGAGTCTGGGGACAGTGGCTTACATCTGTAGTGCCAGCCACTTAGTGGAATCTGGGGGCAGTGGCTTACATCTGTAGTGCCAGCCACTTGGAGGCTGAGGGAGGAGAGCTGCTTGAGCTCAGATGATGATGATGATAATGATGATAATTTTATTTGATTCCTTACTTTGTTTTACTTAGAACTGAATCTGAATATAGTCTATAAAATTGCAGTATCCATTTGCTATCACGGTCTCCCGTGACTGCCATTTTAAAATGGTGTATGGTATACAGTACTAGATTGCTCTCTGCAGTCCCCGGAGTATATCCATCCCTTGACTTGCTGATAGTTCTGCGTTAGACTCTACTTTTCCTCTTCCCCTTTAGGCAGGCTAGCAACTCCAAAATGTTTATCCACTTAATATCTTGCAAGATTGTTAGAGGTGATGCAAAGTGGGACCACCAGGATGACTTAGTGGGTGAAGGCCCCCGCTGCCAAGCCTGATAACCCGAGTCTGATCCCCAGAACCCACCTGGTGGAAGGAAAGAATTGATTCCTGCAAGTCGTCCTCTGACAGCTACATGCAGGCTGTGGTGTGCACATCTACACACACACACACACACACACACACACACACACACACACACGCACATCATCCACAAAATAAATGTGTTTTTTTTTTTTTCCTTTGAATAAAAAACCCTACTAGGTTAATTGCAAAGTCACCGGGCAACAGTCCGGAGCAATTGTCTTTGTGAACGATGTGGTGAGATCTAGACCGCTTTTGTCACGTGGTTCTGTCTTCCTAGTGTGAAGCTTCTCCCCGCCCCGACATGCAGCTGGCCCTTTCAGAGTCTTGGCTCACAGATGACACATATCACTCCCATCCAAGCACTGACCAGGCTTCACCCTGCTTAGCCTCTGAGATCGACAAGATCAGGCACCTTCGGTGCTACAGACAGACACATACCACTTCTATTCAAGCCCCTGGCCAGAACCAGTCTAGACCATTACCTCAGCGTCCGGGACCAGGTGGACGTTTCTTGAGTCCGCTTTCTAAGTTGCAGATGTAAACATCACTGAGCAACAGTGTGCTACTGGAACCACGCTGTGGGCGGTGCCAATTGTGGGCGGTGCCAATTGTGGGCGGTGCCAATTGGCCTTGCCAGTTCCTTAAATTTCATTCCCCTCGTGTGTGAATGTTGGTTGGCTCCAGAGAAGAGAGGGAAAGTCTTCCTTACTAGAAGTTCTGTTCAGCTGATTCTCTGCCATTTTTCTTGTTGTTCTTTCTATTTTATAGATGAGATTCCACTTAGCCATCCTAAGAAAAAGAAATCCAGAACGAAAAGCACACTAGGTAAGAAGTTCTGTGTTAATGGGGGAATCACACGTTTTCCCAGAACCTTACCCATGATCAGCGCAACTTACAGAGTCAGGGTTCCCGGGCACCAAATCATTAATATGTTGTGGACAGGGAGGCAAGGCCATGGGCCGCCTGGAGAGTAACTAGGTACGTTCACAGAATAAAGTATTGTGACTCCCATGTTTACTGTTTACAGTATTGTTGCACTCTTCAGGTCTTTTGTCCCTAGATAACATAAGTGTTTTAAACCTCTACTTGGTTCTAGACCTTTGAACACAATAATGGACTTAGAGACTTGGGATTCTTAGCTCTCCTAATCTATGTTAGAGCAGGACCCTGAAGGCAGGCTCACATCATCTGTGTCTTCAGGCTTTAATAACAGCAGGACCATGAACCTCTTTTGCCACAGTTGCCTACCTGGTAATCCTGGATGGGCTGGTAATCCTGGATGGGCTGGTAATCCTGGATGGGTTGTTAGTAACTCAGACTCAGCACACTGGGAATTCATTACCCTCAATAGTCAGTTTTGGTTTTCACTATTTTCCTAGTGGGCTTGGAACCTCAAAGTCACCATTAGTTGATCTCTTCACTCATTACTTAACCCTCTCACAAGCCTAAAAGTCTGTGTAGGGATGATTGCTTTCTTGTATAAAAGGAATCCTATTCTATAGGTACTGTCTTGGCTCTTTATAGAGTATTCTGGGTGTCCCTAAGCAGTGACTTTATAGTAGTATTTAATCTTTAACGTAATGTCATTTAATTTACTTTGAGACTTCGTTCTAAACAGTAGTGCAGTTCCACGTACCGTAGTGGCTTGTGGGGCGAGGGTGTTTCTAAAGTGGCCAGCCTTGGCGGGGGCGTGCTGTTGATGCCGTGGGCTCTACTAGCTTGTCCTCAGGGAAGGGTCTGTCACTTTCTACCGTCATAAAGCCTGGGAGTGTCACCTTCTCTAAATCCCTGACGAAACCGCCCCATGCCAGTCTCTACTGTTCATTAATTCAGCGACTGAAAAGTAACTTGGCCTCCATTTGTGGAACTCCGCCGTGAACTGTGGAGGGAACTGTGGAGGCGGTACAGTCCTTAGGGCAGGGGACGAGAGTTGTCTATTATGTCACTTTGAGTTTGCCCCTTTTTGAATGCTTTGAACGTTCTGAAGCGATGTCTCCTCCTCTTCATTCTGCAGGCCTTCTCTTTGGCCCTCTCCTTCTCCTCAGCCTTCCTAACCCCACGTTTATTTATTTCCCACACAAAGCCCAAAGTTAGAGAGGGCGGGGCATGAAGTCTTCAAGGCACAGTTCGGAGAAGAGAAGGTGTGGGTGTACAGAGAACACCGGAGGTACCCTTGTCCGTCTTTCTGACTCAGTGGTCTCCGCCCAGGCTGACGCGTTTTCCTCCTGTCTTCCTGTAGCGTCTGCTTCTTCCGAAGGCCTCGCCGAGCCCGTTGTTGACAGGCGCTCTGAGAGCAGTGAGCCGCCAGTGGCAGGCCTCAGGGAGTCCCCAGAGGCTCCTGTCCAGAGGAGGCAGAAGAAGACAAGGCCACCTCCTGGTATGTGAGGAGACCAAGGCTAGACAGTGACCGAAGGTGGGATTTGAACCTTGTTCCCATAGGTGTGCTCTTGCTTGCGTTCTTACAACACCCGCCACTTCAGCTCCAGTGGCTTCAGGCCTCTTTTCAGGTTCTTTGATCATGTATGTGTAGTATATGAGAGAAGGAGCCCGCTAACAGCGACACGGAGTCTTATGAATTATGAAAGTGTGGCCACTAGCTTAGGCTCATTCCGATGGCTCTTATAACGTAAGTTAACTCATAATTTTATTAATCTACATTCTGCCACATGGCTTTCACCTCTGTCCCATTCTTTGTGTGCGACTCTTTCCGTCTCTCAAGGGCGTCTCCCCTTCCTCTCTCTGCCAGGAAGTCCCACCTATCTCTCCCGCCTAGCTGTTGACCGTTGACTTCTTACTACACCAATCATAGTAATACATCTTCCCACAGTGTACAAATATCCCACAACACGGCAGTTACCATTTATTGAGTATCTGTGACTCGGGCAGTGCTCTCAATGTAAGCAAAAATACTGTGTGCGTGCGTGCGTGCATGCATGTGTGTGTGTGTATGTGTGTGTGTGTGTGCACGCATGTGCATCAAGTTAGCGATGCTATTTGCTTTTTAAATTAGAAGATCTAGTGTTGATCTGAGCATAGTACATACCTGTAATGTGTACCAGCACTCATAAGACTGAGTGAGGCAGGAGGATTGCAAGGTATAGGCCAGCTACATAATGAGTTCCAGGCTAACCAAAGCTACAAAGCAAGATCTTGTTTCAACAAAGACCACAATACAAAAATAAAATCAAAGCTAGTGTTAATGGGAACAGGTACAGTAATACAGTAATAGAAGCATAAATTACATCAGTCTGTCCAGATGTCTAAGAGTAAGAAACAGCTGTAATAATTGATACAATCAAAGGATATTAGCTTTACAGTAGAAATGGGTAACCACCAGAACACTGTGGTTAAATAATCACAATTTATCTAAATAAATGTAGAACGAGCACAGGTTAGAAGGATTGTGCAAGTGAACTAGTGTCCTGGGAAACCATCTGCAAAGTACTGTTGAGTCAACAACAAAGGTTATAAAACAGTATGTATTGGGTGGGGTCTCACTTTCACAAAAATATACTAATATTGTTATTACTTATTATTAATTTCCTGTGGTTGCTGTAACAAGTTACCATAAACTGGGAGACTTCAACAAACAGCATTTATTTCTTCATAGTTCTAAAAGATGGAAGTTCAAAATCAAGGTGTCCACAAGGCCATGCTGCTTGCAGGGGCCCTAGGGACGGTACCTTCCTTGCCCCTTGGAGCATCCAGTGTTGTGGGATGATCTTTTTGTACACTGTGAAGATGTGTCTTTGCCAAGGTGCCTTCTGATTGGTTTGATAAAGAGCTGAATGGCCAATAGCTAGGCAGGAGAGAATAGGCGGGACTTCCGGGAGAGAGAGGAGGAGAGAGGCAGAGGTGCCAGCAAGACACTGAAGAAGTCATACATATGGTACTAAGGAGAGGCGATTGAGCCACATGGCAGAACACAGATTAATACAAATAGATTAAATTATAAGAGCTAGTTGAATTAAGCCTAAGCTAAAGGCCAAGCTTTCATATTAATAATAAGTCTCCGTGTAGTTATTTGTGAGCTGGTGGTCCAAAGAAAAGTCTGACTACATTCTAGTAATTGTTGACGATCGGCGGCATCCCTTGGCTGTGGAAGCGTAATGCCAGCCTCTGTCCCATCTCACACTATTTCATTTTGCCGGTTTCCCTGATGCTCTTTATGTAAGAAACCAGTCATTGGATGTAGGGTCCATCCTCACCCAGCATGACATCATCTTAACTTGTTTATATCTGCAAATACTCTGTTTACAAATACAGTTATTTTAGCAGGTTCTGGGAGTTGGGACTTGCCTGTGTGTTTCTGGAACATAATTCAATCCAGAGCATAGTCTAAGCACACACAGACCCAGTGAAAACAGTGGGGTGTTAGCAGTGCCAACAGTGATTAGGTTAAAAAAACAAACAAGAACAAAACATGGTTTTTCATTTTTTTCCATTTAAGAATCCTTATTACTTTTATAGTAATTAGAATAGGACAGTGGACTGAGTTTGTCAACATAAAACAAAGTGAAGGAGTAAGTATGAGGCTAGTGTGCACTGTTAACACAAGTTAGTGTTTTGTTTGAGACAAGGTCTCACTGTGTAGCCCTGGCCAGGCTGGAGTTTACTGTGTAGTCCAGGCTGGTCTCAAATTCACAGAGATCCACCTGTCTCTGCCTTCTGAGCACTGGGATTAAAAGTGCGTACTACCACACCTGGCTAAGTTCTTCATTAAAACAATTTTACACTTCTGTACTATAATTTCAAGTGTTAATGTCAACCAATATGGAAAAAAAATTAAGAAACCTAATCCTAGCTGAGTATGTTGTGACATGTATTTAGCAGGCAGTTCTCTGAATTTAAGTTGTCTACACAGCAAGTTCCTAGGCAGCTGGGGGTACCTAGTGAGACCTTGTCTCAGACCCCAGCACTGCCCTTAGTAGACAAGAATTGGTCCAACTCAAAATCTTCAAGTTCTCTGGTCTCCCAAAAGTCAGGAGACTGTGTTGTTCTTGTTTTTACCTTGTAATCGTGGGTCACGTCTCATTTTCAGAGTTGGAGACTTCCTTCGCTGGAAAGCCATCCAGTCCGTCTTCACTACGAAATGAAAACGGCATTGACGTGGAGCCGCCTGCGGAGCCAGTGATTCCAAAACCACGGAGGAAGGCAAAGTAATAGTTACCCATCCTGCCAGCTCTCCCTAGGAGGTGGTGCTGGTGTTTAATTCAGAGATCTGGATAGTAGCTCCTCACTGGGTCTTGGAAAGCACTGTATTTGTATGTGTTGGGATAAGTGGTATTATAGGAATACAAGCTAAACCAATGTATGAGAAATTTGAAAAGTATAGAACACCAAAAACAGAAAAGAATAGTGTATGGAAAGAGCCTAAGGAGTCATCTCTAAAAAAGCGTGAAACGAAGAAGATACTTTCATATGAGTTTCAAAAAGTGAGATAAAGATTAATGATTAAAGATAAGCTACTGTGATTTGTTTCTTTATGTTAATGGAATTTGAACTATTTTGCAATAAGCATAACTATTGTGTTTTAATGTAGGAAGTTGAGTCTTATATAATATACAAGAGCATACTTGACGAAAAATACCCTGGAAGTTACATAACATTGATGTTTGTACTTAAAAATGACTCTATAAACAATAATCAGTTATATTTAGAATTTTATAATTTTAAGTCAGGAGCCATTCTAGTCCAGTCAGTGACCGTTTTCTAGATGAGAAAACTGAGATCCATAAAAATGTGGGCAGTTTGAGACCTGTTTGTATAGTTCATAACAAATCTGTTTGAGTAAACAGCATATTTTTACACTCCAAGTTCAGGACTCTTTCCATTACATTCATGGGTAATTTCTTATGTGGGTCTTTAAAAATTCAGGAATGATCTATTTTTTCAAAGATTGTCCCTGATTTCAGGAAAACCCAGCCAGCCGAACTACAGTATGCTAATGAGCTGGGAGTGGAAGATGAAGACATAATAACGGACGAGCAACGCACTCTGGATCAGCACTCGAGGTTCACAGCGCCCACTGGGATCAGCCAGCCTGTCGGCAAAGTGTTTGTGGAGAAAAGCCGTAAGTAATCTCATGTTCTGGACTACAATTGCTCTAAATACGGTAGAAGGAAATCTCTAACCTGGTAATTATAGTTCTGATGACCTGACTGAAGGAAATAATAAAAAAAAAAAATATGAATGACAATTGACACGCAAAACTGTTATTACAGTATTTTTTTTTTCCCAGCTGGATTTTATTTATTTATTCTTTGTTGAAAATAGTTTTTTTTTTTTCTATGCAATATATTTTGATTGCAGTTTCCCCTCCCCCAGGCCAGGTGTTGCCCTTAAGAGGCACCGTCTACCCCCTGTGAGACAGGATCTCTCCTTGGGCTGGAGCCCATAGTGCAGCCCAGCTGGCCGTCTTGTCTCTGCTCCCGAATGCTGGGATTCCAAGCACGTCGGCAGCGGCTGTCAGGACAGGGCGTTTCTCCAGCTGGACCACCCCCCATCCCCTCGTTTTTCTAAGCCGTGTCACCCAGTCATTCTTATTCCGGTCTCCTGTAGTGTAAAAACTTCCCTGTTGAGGAACTGATCATAAAAGGCTCAGGGGGTTCTGTTGGCTGTCCAGTAAATTTTTATTTTTAAGAAAATTAGTTATTCTTTCATCCTTCAAAACATCTGAGCAACAGGTTTTGTGAGGGTGATTGAGATGGAATCTTGCCTGCCTCCTGAGGTCAGTTCTGGAAGAAGAACCCTCCTAACCAGTGTAAGTGTGAAGTCTTACTCCCGAATCTCAGGAGAACTTTATGAAATACACTACCTCTTTCCTGCTTATACAGAAGGTTGTATGCACCCTCCAACATCCTTCCTGCCAATACAGAAGGTGTGTGCACACTCCAACATCTTTCTGAAAATACAGAAGGTGTGTGCACACTCCAACATCTTTCCTGCTGATACAGAAGGCTGTGTGCACCCTCCAACATCTTTTCCCAAGAATTTTGAAGAATTTTTAAAATAATAGCTTGCCCTGATACTGTAAACATTTTAAATTTTATTTAAATTATTTATTTTTAGAAACCTATTTTTTTATTTTATGTATATTTTGTCTATGTCTTGTGCTTGCAAAGGTCAGCAGAGGCTATCTGATCCTTGGAACTGGAGCTGTAGGTGGTGGTGAGCCACCAAATGAGTGCTGCGAACTGAACCCAGGTCCTCGGCAAGAGCTCTTAACCACTGAGCCAGCTCTCTAGTTCCTGACATTTTAATTTTAATATTCCTAAAGTCTCTAAGTTACCTCTATAGACTGTCATGCTAAAGGCTTTTAAACTTAATTCTGAGTTGAAAGTGTATCGCTGTAATTCATTAAATACCATTGACTCTTAACATTGTCATTTAAACATCAGCTTTGGGTTGAGAAGAAAGCTTATTGGCATTGCATTATTATTATTTTTTTTTTTTTGAAGATGAGGACATTGTACATCTAAGCTGCCAAAGTGAAAGAAGAGAGAGAGAAAAAAACTTACACAGTCAAGGAGAATTTTTAGATTAAAAAAAACAACAACAAAAAACAGGAAAAGTTCAGTCCTAGTTTCAGCCCTCCTTTTAACTTTTTTAAGCATGTGTGCTTGTGTGGTTTATATGAAAGACACGCGTGTGAGGTCAGAGGACACGCTTGTGGAGTCAGTTCTGTCCCTCTACCTTTGTGTGGGTCGAGGGACCAAGCTTCGGCCATCGGGCTAGATCTGAGCAGCACCTTCACCTCAGGAGCCACCTTGCAGGTCCCGCCCCCCCAGTTTTCCCTGCTTTAAGATTTTGTTTTGCTTTCAGTTAATTCTCTTGTGTCTGTGTGTGACTCTGTGTGTGGGTGTATGTGGATGTGTGCTCGAAGACCCGTGGAGGCCAGAGGTGCCGGAGCCCTCGGACCTGGAGCTGCCGTTGGAGTCTGCGCAGAGGTCCCCGGAAGAACACTCTTACCTGCCAAGCCATCTCTCCAGCCCTTGGCTGTTCTTGAGACGGATTCTCATGGAGCCCTGGGACCCCTGCACCCGCTGCCAGGGGACAGGCATGCACTGGTGTGCCGGGCCGACGCTCCCACATGGCTTCTTTCTTGCTAGTCACCGGCAATTGTGTTTTCTCCGCTCTGCTCTCCAGGGAGATTTCAGGCGGCAGATCGTTCAGAGTTGATCAAGACCACAGAAAACATAGATGTGTCGATGGACATGAAGCCGTCCTGGACCACCCGGGATGTGGCGCTTTCGGTGCACCGAGCTTTCAGGTGGCCGCTTTTTGTTGATGTTCACTAAGCATGTGTTAATTGGATCTTGTCATTTAAAACAAAAGGAAAAAGCCGTGCCTGTTCCATACTTTAAACAAAATCAACAATTTACAGTGATATGTAGATTTATTTTTATAGGCATTCCACTTGTTCTTTTCATAATATGTTGAATTTTATGTTATGTGAAGAGATTTTAAAAATGCTTCAGCTTTCTGTTTTAGTGATTGGTGTGTAATTAAACCCTTTCCCGTGCAGGATGATTGGTCTGTTTTCGCATGGCTTCTTGGCTGGCTGTGCCGTGTGGAACATTGTCGTGATCTACGTTCTCGCGGGAGATGGGCTCTCTGACCTCTCCAACCTTCTGCAGCAGTACAAGCCCTTGGCATACCCGTTCCAGAGCCTCCTCTACCTGCTCTTGGCTCTGAGTACTGTTTCAGCCTTTGACAGGTGAGGCTGTTGTGACGGGGGATCATCCTTCTAACTCTGCTTCAGGGAGAAGTGGTGAGCAAACCGTGTCACTAACGATGAGTTTTCAAAATCGACGTCATCGTTGTTAAACCTGTCTTTGGGGTAGCATGGCCTCGTGGCTTCACTGTATCTTCAGAGATCCTGTTTCCAAATGGTGTCACCTTCATGAGTACTAGGCTTAGACGTTGATCACTTATCTTGGGGAACGCAGGTCAACCCATGTTTTAACAATCAGCAGGGCTGGAGAGATGACCCAGTGGGTCCAGATGCCTGCTGTCAGGCCTAACGTTCTGCTACCCAGGACCCACATGGTGGAAGGAGACAGCCAGCTCCCTGAGAGCTGTCCTCTACCTCCACATGTACACCATAGCTTGAGTGTGTGTGTGTAAGTGTGTGTGTGTGTGTGTGTGTGTGTGTGTGTGTACACATGCACAGCTGTCCACACAAACTAAATAAAATGAAATAAAATCACCAAAAAAAAAAAATCCTGCCTACTCACTGTTATCATAGTTTGCTTCTCTGTTTCTGTGATAAAACACTCATCAAAACAACTTGGGGAGGAAAGGGTCTGTTTATCACACACTTTAGAGTTCCCCCGTCAGGGGAACCCACAGCAGGAACTCGACAGGGCAGGAACCTGGAGTCATGAACTGAGGCGGAGACCATGGAGGATGCTGCTTCCTGGCTGGTTCAGCCTGCTTTTCATACAACCCAGTACCACCTGTCCCAGGATGGCATCGCCCACAGTGAGCGGGGCCCTCCCACGTCAATTCTTCATCAAGGAAATGTCCCCCTAGACTTGCCTACAGGCCAGTCCTATGGAGGTGTCTTCTTAGTTGAGGCTCCCTCTTCCCAGGTGACTCTAGTTTGTATAGGTTGACAAAACCAACCAGCACCGTGGCTTGATGGTCTACAGGAAGAGGAGGAAGCTAGTGATTTTTGCAATAATACTAAATAGTCTTCTTGTTGGATCTTTGATGTGTCCTTTGTAACAAGGTAGATGTTCTTTCCTGTTAAGTTTAAACTTGAGCTCCTTAGAGACCCATGGGCGATGATAGACTCAAGAAGGGAAAAGCTTGAAGGAGGAAGGACCAGCCGCACGATGACGGAGACTTTCGCATTTTGTTCTAGGACTGACTTTGCTAAAACATCAGTAGCCATCCGGAACTTTCTGGCCCTGGAGCCAACGGCTTTAGCCTCCTTCTGTAAGTAATAGTTTACCTTGACAACTGTTGTGATTGAGGAGTTACACTGTTATGTTGAACCAAGAAAAATACAGAAGTTTTTAATATTATTTCTTTATATGAATCATTACTTCTAAGCCTGTGAAATTGTAATTTAAAACATAGTAGGAGTAATTTTGATAGAGTTTTTTTTGTTTGTTTGTTTGTTTGTTTGTTTTTTGAGGCAGGATCTCTTACATAGCTCAGGCTGGCCTTGGACTTCCTGTGTGGTTGAGGATAGCTTTGAACTCCTCATCCTCTTTGCTCTCTCTTGAGTACTGGGACTTGCAAGTATGCCCCGCCGTGCCTGGCTCACAAGTGTTTTTCAATAAATGATCATCTAAAGGACTTTCAGAAGCTGAGTTTGTGTGTGAGGGCCTGGGGTTAATGCCCTGCACCAAAAATAACAAAGTTAAATGTGTTGCCCTTCATTACGTATTTGGCTGCTGTCTTTTCCACTTAGCATTAGGCAGACACAGCTGGCTTGGCCTTTTAGTACTAAGTACCATTTATGTATTTCTGGCAATCTACAATACATTTTGTTTTGAGTTACAAGAATTTTATTAAAGCTAGTGTGAGGAGCTTGAGCAATTCATCTAAATTCTTAAAAGATCGTCTAGGTTCCTTCTTGCCAATTCGGATGATAAATAAGGTAGTGCTCATCTATTGCACTCTGTGCCGTATCCATGCCAAGTAATGAAAAGCTGCCAATTGATGTTGAGTGAATTTCTTTTGTATAGTCATTCGCCAAAGTGTGGATTATTTTCCCCTTAAAGAACCTACAAATCCAACATAAACAGAAGGTAATATTATTAGTAATTTGACCTTTTTTCTTCTCAGTGTACTTTGCTGCTCTAATACTGTCTCTGAGTCAGCAAATGACAAGTGACAGAATCCACCTTTACACCCCTTCTGTGAATGGAAGCCTCTGGTAAGAATTCACAGTAATGTTAGCAGTTGTTATGGTAGCAGCAGCCACAGGGGAGTAATGATACTTCTCCACATGTTCATCCACAGATCACAACCAGCCCACATTTCTGTTTATAATAAACCACAAGAAGAAAATACCTATTCTGTTGGTTAATGGATAATGACCTTTTTATAGCTTACTTTGGCTTTTCTCGACATGTATTATCAAGTAGCCTAGGCTAGCTTCAAACTCCTTATTTAACTGAGGCTGGCTTTGAACTCCTGATCATATTGCCTGTACCTCCTAAGTGCTGTGGTTACAGGCAGTCACTATACCCAGCTTATACCTGGGTTTGTAAAGGAACTGTCTTCTTTTCAAAAATACGTTTTAACTCTTCAAGTCATCATACAGTGGGTTGGAGGTGTCCTGTGCCTTTACCCCAGGCGGAACCCTAAGACCACAGAGCAGTGGTGTGCAGGTGCCTGGAACAGAGGCCAAGAACTGAGCGGTGCTAGAAGAGACTATGGGGGAACCGGCATTTTTAGACGCGTGGCCAGCTGCTGCTGGGGTTATAGGATGCTGAAATTCCAGTCTGTTTTGAGACAGTGAATAGGGGTGGCTAAGAGAGAACGAGAAGATGGTCAGTTGAGGAATATTGCCATGGTGCTGTAAGGGAAACTGTCAGGACTCTTGAGGGGAATACCAACTTTTCATTTATACTAATCTACAGAGATCTGTTCAGAGTTCAAGTTGGCTTTGAACTGCGGGTGTGTGCAGGAGGCTTCTTCCATAGTTTGTTTGTTTTGGGAGACTCTCACTTTATTTCATACTTGGTATTGCTCTAGGAGAGGACTGCTTTTTAAAAGTTTATGAAATAGTTACATTTGGACCTGTGAACAAGAATGAAGGCATTGCTGCTGAGCACTTGCTTCTCTTCTCCAGGGCAGCGGAAGTTGAGGAACAGATTCTCGGGCCGTGGATCATCGTGAATTTGGTGGTGGCTCTTTTGGTTGGGTTGTCCTGGCTCTTTCTGTCTTATAGGCCAGCCATGGATCTTAGTGAAGGTATTAAAATAAAAAGATATGAGTATTCTGATAAGGATTTTCTCCCGATTTTATGAAGTTTCCCAATAATAATTTAATGACAAATACATTTAAAATAAGATATCAGAAGGACAATGAAAATAGCTAGGTCTCAGAATGGTGGAGGAAACAGGGTGGAGGGCCTGGAGAGTTGGAGCCTGGAGACACTCAATGAGGGGCCTTAGCCTTCTGCACATCCAGACGGTGTGCCTTCTTGGAATGTTTGGGTGTTGCTAAAGCTCTCCTCTCCTTATCCTCGGTCTTCACTTGATGACGTCACGCTTCATCAGTGTAACCTCTGTCACACAGACGTGAGTCTCGTTGGCACAGACCCCGTCCGTTCTTAGTTTACCTTCAGTGTGCCCAGTGCCCAGTGAAGCCACTCATCTCTCGACCCCAGGCCCTTTTCAGAACACCCAAAGGGAGACTCCATTAGCAGACGGCTAGCTCACCAGGAAGAGCTCTAGGAACACTTGGTATTTTTTTTTTCTTTTTTTCAGAGCTGAGGACCAAACCCAGGGCCTTGTGCCTGCTAGGCAAGCGCTCTACCACTGAGCTAAATCCCCAACCCAGCACTTGGTATTTTACTGTACACTGTACCTCCTTGACAGGGCTTCCCCATTTTCATCCTTTCACACATGAGCACTATAGTTACATCATTTCTGCCCACCCCCAACTCCTCTCATGTCCCTCCTTCCATGACCTTTTCTTCTATAATTATTTTTGTTACATTAAAGATGCGAATGTGTATAAATTATATGCATATAAATATACAGTCTATTAAGCCCAGTTAGTGTTGCCCATATGTGCATGTGAACAGATTACACCAAACCAGAATGTGGTTTCCGTGTGTATCTCATGTGTGAATGCACCGTTTTGCGTGATAATCCTCTTGTTGTCCCTCTAAATGTCCTGCTGCTTTACCCAGTTCGCTGTCTTGGGCTTTGGGGCTGGGTAGCTGGTCGGTCGGTGGTCAGAGCGCTTGTTATGCAGACATGAGGCGCTCCAAGCACCTGTGGAAACCCAGGCACAGCCTTGTGCACCTGCAGTCCCAGCACGGTGAGGGAAGGCGGGTGGATCCCGGAGCTCATGGCCAGCCGGCCTCGCCAAACTGATGAGCTCCGGTGAGAGACCCTGCCTCAAAAATAATGTGGAGAGCAATAGAGGAAGACAGCTGACATCAGCCTCCAGCTTCTCCATGTATGCGCACATACATGCACACACTCATAGAACACGTATACACCACACACATTCATACACAAAAGCATTGCACATTATATATTTTGCTGTTTTTTGGGTTTTTTTTTGTTTTTTGTTTTTTCTCACAAGGTATGTTTTTTTTTTTTTTTTTTTTTTTTGGCCAAAGATTTTTTTATTTACTGGTTTATGTCAGAGAACTTTTATTTTCTGTATTCTCAAGGTTTAATTTTTTTATATTTGACATTTTAATAGTAAGTAATGTTTCTATGTGGAACAATAGTTTAATTATGAAAACGTCAACTAGCAGCACTCTGGAGTGCTGCTGGGACTGACGCCGTGTCTGGCTGGTGTGTGCCGGTTCCACATTAATTATAATGAGTGTGATGCGTAGCGGGAGTTTTAGGAACCTGCTGGCTTTCAAGGATGGTAAATTTAAGAAGTGAGAACAAAGTGAGGGTAATACCTAGTCTATTGGTCTTTTGAAGATGAAATGGGATAGCATATTAACACCTAATGTTAGTTCGGAATCCTACTTCTCCCCTGCATTTTCGATTACCTGATGGAATTAGACCTCTGAGCTCTTTAATGATTCTAGACTTCCTAGGCGACTTAATTTTCTTGGTAAGATGTGTTGCATTGTCTTTATTATGGGTACTTTATTTTAAGAGGTTTATAATGAACTTAAAACTTGAACTTTTAAAAATATAAAACATATACACTTGCTACTAGCTTAGCATTTAGATAAAAGACTCCCTGAATAAGTGCCGCTCCTACTTGAGGACTTTGTATTAGCATGCATACGTGAGGAGCTGAGGCAATGTTTACAGTGTGATATGTTCATTTTCTTCTCCAGAGCTAATGTTCTTCTCTGATGTGGAAGAGTACCCTGAGAAAGAAGTCCAGCCGACTGCGTAATGCCAGCCCTCTCACTGCAGTAAAGACCCGCATAGTGCCCACCCTCCACTGCAGTAAAGACCCACACAGTGCCCACCCTCCACTGCAGTAAAGACCTGCATCTCCCCACTTTGTTTTTAAGCATATTTTTATAAGATCTGTATATGTGTATTTATAATTGAGCTTTTGTTATATAATGCTGAAATGCGTCTGAAGATTATGAAAAATGTTTAAATTGCATCTGGTCTTTATACCCAACATTAATTTCTATAGTACTGTCACCTAAGTGATACAGGAGACAATGGGCTAAAAAAGCAGGCGGAAGTGTTTGTTTCCTGTTCTCTCAAATCTGCTATGTGCATAATCATAATCATAATAAAAAGCGCCAATCTAAAAAAGCCATAACCTCAGTGTTATAGAATAGATATCACGTTTAAATGTAAATTTAGAGAATAGGGTAGAAGGGAAATGCCTTCATTTTGTATTTTTGATGTCTCCTTATTGAACACACTACAGTATAAAATTTGTGTTTTCTGAATCTGGTAAATGTTTGTGTATCATGTAAGAATTACATTGTAATTTAAATTGAAAGATGCTTTACTTCATGGCTAATAAAACAGAAATATTTTTGTTTGAAAGTTTTCTAAGTTTTATTTTTCCCTTTTAAAATCTATGCTGGAGGGCTGGAGAGATGGCTCAGAGGTTAAGAGCACTGACTGCTCTTCCAGAGGTCCTGAGTTCAATTCCCGGCACCCACATGGTGGCTCACAACCATCTGTAATGAGAGCTGGCACCCTCTTCTGGCAGCAGGCGTACATGCAGACAGAACACTGTATACATAATAAATAAGTAAATCTTTAAAAAAAAAATATGTGTGGTTCTCTTATCTGGTTGCACATCAGGATCTGTGGGGGAGCTTTAGAGAAACAGCTGTAACCGCTAGCAGTAGTGGTATGTGCCTGTAATCCAGCATCTGGGAAGCAGAGGCAGGAGAGGCAGGAGATCAGTGCCACCCTCAGCTACTTATCAGGCTTGAGTCCAGCCTGAGCTACATGAGAAACCATTTCAAAAACCAAAATCAGCAACAACAAACTCAAACCATGAGCTGTGAACCAGCTCAGGCCTGTGATTTTGGGCTAACCTCTGTAGAGTCTCCCCGCTGCCTTTTTACCGCTGATGGATATCAAACCCAGGGTCTCATTCTGGTAGGCAGGTGCTCTACCATTGGGCTGCATCCTGTGTTTCTGTCTGTCTGATGAGAAAGGGTCTCGATGACTATCCCAGGCTGGCCTCAGACTCCTGGTCTTCCTTCCTAACTTCTTGAATGCTGAGGTTGCAGGGCCTGCTTGCTGCTTCTTGTGAGTCACAAGAAACGTGAGTGGACGTTCACCATCCTCATTCTCAAACTCTGTCAGGTATCTTTAGGATTCTGAGAAATTCCACTCTTGGGGTGGGTTCTGCATAGAAAAAAGCTGTCTGCACACACTTGAAATGCTTCTTCGGCTGGTGTCATGTCTGTGCGCCCTTTGGCGTCCATCAATGAGAAGACCTGCTGGACAGAAAGTGACTCAGGCTGTTGGAGACATTCCTGGAACTAACTATTGGGCCTCCCTGATTAGCACACAACTGAATGTTGTATAGAAGATGACCGGCGGGCTGAACGTTGAGGTGGCTGTCCCTGAGGGTCGGTCTGTATTTGGTGCAAGCACCATACTAAAAATACCTTTTGCTGTCTGTAAGGCCAGGGTTGCTGAGCGGGTGTCATAGAATTGTGACTCTACAGGCAATGCTGACTATCCTGTCTGTTGTCACTGTGATTGGCGACTCTCACGTTGGCGGCAACAGCTGGAAGCGTAGGCGTCTGCTTTGCAGCTGCTGCAGGGAAGGTGAGCTGAGATTGATCACCGTCTGAACTGTGTCATCAAGGAGAAATAGGGAAAGTGGCTATTACCATGGGGGATGTAGGAGGCTGAGTAATGGCCCCTAAGGGCTATTCATGATCTAATGCCTGGAGTCTGGGAGTATACCACTTTTCACAGCAAAAGTGGTCATATAGATGGTACTGGGGCTAAGAATCTTGAAATAGGGAGAGTTTCTCAGTGTAGCCTGATGATGTTTCTTAAAGGACTAAACCTTTCCATATCTCATCCAAGAGCTGTTGGGTCAGTTGTGATGCTTCTGCTTATAAAGATGGAAGGGCCATCAATGACCCCAACAGTCAACAGAGACACAGCTATTCCAGCCCCATGAATTCTATCAAGGATGAGCAGCAGGTCCTCCTAGAGAGCCTTCAGGGAGCAGTGCAGTGCTGTGGTACTAGACTTGAAGCACAGACATAAGAGATAGCAACTCTGTGTTAGCTAAGCTGCTAGGGAGCAGAGGATAGGGAGGCTGAACACATGGTAAACATACTGTCCGCCTTCTAGAGGCTCTTAATCTACTTAGAGAGAGAGCTAAGAATGGAAGAATCTAGGAAAGGTTTGTGGGTGAGGTCTGATGTGAGGGGTGCTTTGTAAAGTGGACGTGGTTTCTACTGGTAGAGATGGGGCGTACACACAAGAAAAGGTCAGGAAGGTGAGTGAGCTTAACACTTTAGAAAATCTTTCTTCTTCTTTCTTCTTCTTCTTCTTCTTCTTCTTCTTCTTCTTCTTCTTCTTCTTCTTCTTCTTCTTCTTCTTCTTCTTCTTCTTCTTCTTCTTGTTCTCCTCCTCCTCCTTCTCCTTCTTCTTCTCCTTCTTCTTCTTCTCCCTCTTCTTTCTCTTCTCCTCCTCCTGCTCCTCCTCCCCCTCTTCTCCATCATCATCGTCATATGTGTGTATAAATGATGGGAGAGGGGCTTTGGGCCACAGTAAACGTGGAGGTCAAAGGGCAACTTTTCACAGTTGGTTCACCTTCCTCCGTTACACGGGTGGGTTCTGGGGCCCACATTCAGGTTTCCAGTCTTGTGCAAGGATCTTTACCAGCTGAGCCAGCTCACCAGCTCAGCTCAGCATTTAAAAAGTAAAAAGGTTTTATTTTTTATGTATGTGGACATGTGTGGGCACCTGTGCAGGCTAGAAAAAGTCAGATTCTTTGGAACTAGAGCTGCAAGTAGCTGTAGACCATCCAGTGTGGGTGCTGGGAACTGAACTCGGGTCCATCTGAAAGAGCAGCAGGTGCTCTTAACCGCTGCTGAGCCATCTCTCCAGGCCTTCAGAGTAGCATCTTCTGGAGATTTGAAAACACAGTGTTGTGAGATATCAGCCTAGGTTTGATGTTAAACTTTTACCTCATTTGCTTTTTCTTTGTACGCCCCCTTTTTTTCTTTCAAGATCTTTTGAAGGGATGTTTATTCTAAGAATTAAGGACTTTTGTCTATTGAACGCACAGTGTCACTAAAGCAACCAGAAAACATAACACCATAATATCTAACATCTCATCCATTTTCGAATTTTCCTAGTTGTCCTGCAAATGAAATTATATTTCAGTGGTTTTTATCTCTCAATGTAAAATTATATATTTAGAATTTAAATTTAAATTTCCTTAACATTTATTTGTGTTTTGTTTGTGTGTGTGGATGTGCACAGCAAGGTCAGAAGAAAAACATCAGTTCTCCTGTGGAGGCCCACAAAGCTTCCTATATTTCTCACTTCTCCCTACTCTACCCTGGGGAAAAGATGGGAGCTGGTCTCTCACATTCTCCTTCTACCATGTGGCTTTGGGGAGTACACTGCCACATTCTGAACTTCTTGTCCTGAGCAAACCTCAGACCTAGACAGGTAAAATTCTTGCAGGACACGCCAAAACTTCATTAGTTTTACCCTCCGTCATGTGAGCACAGATATCCAGAGGGGCTATTTAGGAAGCATAGACTGGACTCCCAGCAGACCCCAGAACTATGAGAAACACATTTCTGTTCTTCTTAAATTGTGTAGTGGACTGAAATACCTAGAGATATAAATTTGTTCACAAGACTTCATTTCTGTCCCATTCAAAAACAATTGCTTGCTGCCTCCATCAATTAGGTTCAAGTACATTTTCAGACTTGGTGACAATTCTGAAGAAGCAGGCTTTTGTGAACCCTGAAGTGCCTCCTCTTTGCTTTGTAGTTCACAGTTTACAGTAAACCAATAATGCCACTATTCTCCAGCAGGTGTCTCCGGAAACCAATGCACAGAGCTTCTACACTTAACCAGAGATCTCTAATAGTGCTAAACTTATTCCTTACAGCTCAGGCCCTGGCCAGAAAACATTACAAATTCTGGAAAATGCATAGAAGTAATTGTTAAACTGACCTGCAGAATTGGACTCTCCTTAAGGAGCCAATAAATGAAGCAGGAGAATAGGTGTTTTGTTTTGTTTTGTTTTTTGTTTTTTTTGATTCCATTTGTTTCCTCTCCTCTGCCATCCCCAGAGAGGGTTTCCCTGTGTATCCCTAGCTATCCTGGAACTTGCTCTGTAGACCAGGCTGGCCTTGAACTCACTGTAGAACCGCCTGCCTCTGCCTCCTGAGTGCTGGAATTAAAGGTGTGCGCCACCACTGCCCAGCAGGAATAGTTTTACAGTACAAATACAATCTTCTCTCATTGAGGAACCAAACAAAAAGCAAGACTGCTTCATCTGTGGTGCTTTATGCTACATTACATGAACCCTCCCTCCGGAAGTCACAATGAGCTGGGAAGACAAGTCTCATTGGGGTGGAGATTAGGTACCATGCAGCACAGACCCATGCTGCCAACACACAGGAATTAAGGGGCTTGGGATTTTGTGCCATGCAGCCTGCAAGGGAAAAGCAAGGACCGAGTTCTTGCTCTTACAGAATCCTGCCTTTAGAGATTAGCAGCTACTAGTGTGAGCCCACACAAAGGGATGTGCCAAGCAGTAGGTTGGAGGCAGCAATTCCTTGTGTCTTGGGGCACACGCGAGAGCACATGGCAAACAGACTGTCTGCCTTCTGGAGGGATCTTGGTCTACTTCGGGAGAGATGGGAGTGGAGAATCTAGGAAAGGTCTGTAGGTGAGGTTGGATGTGAGCAGCGGCTGTGTGAGATGGATTTTCTGGTGGTAGAGATTAACTAAATGTTGTACCCAGAGTCCCCCAAAGACCATCAGGAGGCCAAATGCGATGCAAAAGCAAAGAGTCTTTTTATTTCGTGTTAACTCGGGTCTGTCTGTCGCTGCAACAGAGCAGGAGAGACCCCGAGCAGCAAGGGGGCGGGGTTTTTAAAGCAAAGGGGGGTTGGGGTCTACAGACTTCGTAGGAACAGACTCGGGCTTATGCGAGTGGCAATCATGTTAGTGACTTTTAAGTGGCTAGGGTTAGTTGGGAGTTATAGTTATTCATTTTTAGGCAGGCCTAGACAAGTCCGAGGCTCTGTCCTTGAGGTGCCATGGAGGCTGGCTGGCCTTGCACGTACTGACTGTGGGGGCTGGCTCAGTGGCCCAGGCTTGTTTCCCTGTCCCTGCTGGCAGGGGCATCAATGATTGTCCTTTGTTCATGGCCCTCTCAGAAACTGCTTGCTAAAGTCTCAGGAAACTGAAATTGAAGCCTGATCTCTGAGAGAAGACTGAGCAGCCTGTTATGGCCTCTGCTTGGTCCTTTCACTAAAGGTGACTTTTGAGCTCACTCTTGCCTAAAAGAAGACTACATTTCAAATATTGTAACAGTAAATAATGGCTCTGAGGAAGGGAAACCTATTTAAAATGTTTTATATTTTTAAAAGCCTAATGTGCAGCTGGGCAGTGGTGGCACACGCCTTTAATCCCAGCACTCAGGAGGCAGAGGCAGGTGGATCTCTGTGAGTTTGAGGCCAGCCTGGTCTGCAGAGTGAGTTCCAGGACAGCCAGGGCTACACAGAGAAACCCTGTCTCAAAACAAAACAAAAACAAATAAACTCCCAAAAGTCCAATGTGCTACCCACTTCGCCTTAGAAACACCTAAAAAAATATTTTTAGATGTTAAATGGCCAATAAAGTTCTGGAAGCTTCTGGGTTTGCTTTGTGTATAATGGTAAATTATTCTAATACTGAGACAGCAGAAGAAACTGATGAGTCAGGCTGGGAAACCATAGAGGAAATCATTGTACTTTTCTATACGAGAGATGTTCCAGAATAGGAACAGTGAAGAGAAGAAGCGTTCTTGTATCAAGGGTACATTTTTTTTTTAAGGGTCAGAGTTTTGTGAATGTGGAATTAATACATCAAATGAATTTGGAACACACTAGAGCTCCAGAGGTAAAGATAAATATGCGACTGTGTCCTGTGTTGTGGAACAGTCGGATAAAGGTGATCCCAAAAGCTGCTGGAAATACACATTTGGCTCACGGGCGAGAGTGCACAGAAAGCATGTCTGAAATTATAAACCCCAAAGACCTGGTGTGGAGAGAAGAGGGCTCCTGAGACTTAAGGAGAGTTTAGTGGAATGTGAAGGAGGCTGCCGCAGGCAGGCTCTGACTTCCGGAGGAAACAGACACTGCCAGACAAGGAACCAGCCTGCAGCCGATGGTCCCGCCTGCAGAATGCACACCCCCAAAGCCCCGGCATTCTGCACGAGGTCCGGGAAAGGGCGGGAAAGGCAGCAGCGCGCGCAGGCGCGTGCGCCGCCAACAGCGGTTGGGTTTAGTGGCAGATTGGGCCCCGAAGAGAATGTAACAATGGAGCTGCCTCCTCCGGGAATCCGGAGGGTTTCCATCAACCCTCTAGAGGCACCCCGCAAGTTTTCCATCTTCGCAGGCATGGTGCCCACCCGCTCATCTTTGGGCCCCTCCTTGGCCTCCGCTGGGACCTCGAAGCTCTTCACCCAGAGCAACCTGAGGGCCCCCAACCTGATGCCGGGCCCCCTTCCCCAGAAGAGCTCCCTCAGCCCCCCGGACGCCATGCGGCGCAGGGTGTCCAACGTCTCCTCCGTGCACTACGCCGACGAGCAAAGCAAGCCGCCACCCTTGGACGCCGACAAAGAGAAGGAGAAGGGCAAGGGCAAGGGCACCGGGACGCGGCTGCTGAACGTGAGTGGGGCCCAGAGCAGGGAGCGGGCAGGATGGCACGATGGCCGGCCCAGGGGTGCCCCAGGGACCGCAGGGGTCGGTGCTCGCAACCCCGAGACCTCCCTGGCGTGAAAGGTGGCCACACTAGACACCTTAGGCAGTTTAGCCTCCCGCAGCGTCATTTTGTCGACTAGGAGATGGAAGACAGTGACAATGTAGATGGTGATGCTCATCGGGACAAACAGTCACTACATGCTCACTGCAGTCAATACCATCGCGGAGATGTCATTTGTCTGGATATCTGCTAACCCCCATATAAACTTTATTCATTCTTTCTTTTATTCTTCCTTCCTTCCTTCCTTCCTTCCTTCCTTCCTTCCTTCCTTCTTTCCTTCCTTCCTTCCTTCTTTCCTTCCTTCCTTCTTTCCTTCCTCACTCTCTCCCTTCCTTCCTTCCTTCCTTCCTTTTTCTTCTTTCTTTCTTTCTTTCTTTCTTTCTTTCTTTCTTTCTTTCTTTCTTTCTTTCTTTCTTTCTTTCTCTTCTCTCCTTGCTTCCTTCCTTCCTTCCCTCCTCCTCCTTCTCTCTTTCTCTTTCCTCCCTCCCTCCTTCCCTTCTTCCTTCCTTCCCTCCTTCCTTCCTATTTATTTATTTATTTTGTTACGTAGGGTCTTTAATTTGTTTCGTTTTGCTTTACCACATAAGCCCCGGCTGACCTGATACTTGCTATGGAGCCCAGGTTGGTTTCAAACTTTTAGCAACCCCCCCCCCCATCTTAGTGATGGGATGTGGGTGTGTACCACCACACCCGGATATTACCAAGGTCCTTAACTTATGACTCTGGAGGACTAATTCTTCATCCAGTCTCCAGTATTTAGTGGTAACGAGGGGCTGGAGGCATAAATCACAAAGCAGAACCGAATTGTAATTCATCCTATATAAAGGTCATTAGAGGATTATTAGGAAAATTCTCATCCTCTGTTCGCCTTACATTATTAAGAAATAGTGCAGTTAAATTACCCAGAAACGTGGGCTGTGGTGGCGCACGCCTTTAATCCAGCACTCAGAAGGCAGCAGCAGACAGATCTCTTGAGTTCAAAGCCAGCCTGATCTATAGAGCGAGTTCCAGGACAGTCAGGGCTACACAGAGAAACCCTATCTCAATAAACAACATAATTTAGGAACAAATGCTACATACAGAAGATGAGCTCTGTCTCTGTAAAATAATAATTTGATCTCCAAAGTTCCTGCTAATTCCAAGAGTTTAGCATGCTTTTAGAGCACTGTTAGGATGGATTGAGAGCAGATTAAATGCTAACTAAAAGGTACGTTTCTAAGATGTGCTAAGTTAAAAATCACAAAGGTTTGTAAGAGAGATGTGCTTCAGAATCAGACCATGGGCTGAGCTTGTTGTATATGACCTCAAGGAATTTGGGCTTTGTTTCCCAGAATAGTGATTTCTAATATTGTTTTGAACATGGCAGTTCCTTGTCAATGTAAAATTTTCCTCTTGCATAAAAATAACTGGTCTTTATTACTTGCTGATTGTGGAACTATATAACCACAAAAATGAACAAATAAGCCTGGTATTATTAATAGAGTTCTCTCCAGCTCATTGCTTGTTCATTTTTCAGTTTTTCGTTCATCTCTGTTCAATTCTTCTGAGGTGCTTAGTAAAGCCTTGGTATGGGGATGCTAGGGAGATGGCTGAGTAGTGAGGAACGTGTGTACTGCTCTTGCACAGGAACCAGAATTCAGTTCTGTACCCATGCCAGGCAGCTCCCAACCGTCTGTAACTCCAGCTCCAGGAGATCTGGCCTCTGGGGTCACTTACACGCATGTGCACACACTCACAGACAGACGTACAGACGTACACATCCATAAAGAATAAGTCTCTAAAAATATAGATTTTTTTTTGAGCCTCCCCCATAGTCCTCTGGGATGAGAGGGGTAAATGCAGGCATGTGCTCAAATTAAAACTATTTTTAATCGATTCCTAGGCATGAGTTTGAGAATCGCCTCAGAGGAACAGGGGAACGTCGGTGTGGTGACTAGGTTGACAGAGCAGCCAGAGGAACTGGATGAGCTGTGGTGGGGATGGCCCTTAGTTTGTAGAGAGCTGGTCTAATGTGCACAAGCCCTGAGCCCAAGCCCCGCACTTCAGAAACAGTGGCACACGCCTGTACTCATATCAGGAGTCGTAGGCAGAAGGATCAGAAATTTAGGTCATATTTGCCCACAGAGTGAGTTTTAAAGATGGGTGAACTGAGTAAAAGCAGATGGAGGGGTTGTCAGCTTGGTGTGAACTAGAGTCACCCAGGAAGAAGGAACTTCAGCTAAGGAATTGCGTCCGTTGGATTGGGCTGTGCCTGTGTTTCTTGATTGGTGGTTGGCGTGAAAGGACTCAGCCCACTGTGGGCCACACCACCCCTGGGCTGCTGGTCCTGGGTTCTGTAAGAAAGCAGGCTGAAATCTACAGATTCAATGCAATCCCCATCAAAATCCCAACACAATTCTTCACAGACTTGGAAAGAAAAACACTCAACTTTATATGGAAAAACAAAAGACCCAGGATAGCTAAAAGAATCCTATACGATAAAGCAACCCTTGGAGGCATCACCATCCCGGACCTCAAACTCTACTATAGAG